CAGTCCCAGGCATTAGCCCAAAAGAGTTATTTAAACAAGAAACATCTTTATTCTTTCAGTGTTCATTATTAAAATAAAACACCCTTCTGAATTTTAACAAGACCCATGCACTCCCTGCTTGATTTTACAGCATCACCCTCTTCTCTAGATAGTTTTTCCTCATGTCAAACCTAAATTTTATTATCTGCAAATAAAGCTGGTTCCTTCTTTCCCTATCCTCCAGCAAGCATGGGGAAAGATTTATCACCATTCTCCTTACAATAAACTTTAAAATATTGCAAGATTTTTATCACAGCTCTTCTTTAGACTCTGCTGTTCCCAGACTAAACAAACAATCCTTTCAACATTTCCTCCTAGGTTGTTCCTTCTATGCCTCTGATATTTCTAGTGTCTCTCTCCTGGACTCTCTCCAGTTTGTCTACATTTTTCTTTACAGCACAGTACCCAAAACTGGACACTCTATTCCAGCTGAGGCCCCACCGGTGCCAAGTGGAGTAGAATAATTATCTCCTATGTCTTAGGTTGCAGTCTCACATCCTGTTCTGCCTGCAGCTGAGCTGGGTGAAAAGTTTATTTCTTTTCACCCACTCCAGCTGCTTATCACCACCCCCAGCTGCAGGCTCTCCCCCTCCCAGGTCAGCAGTAACTGCCAGGGGATTGCTCTGAGCATAATCCTGGTGAACAGCCCAGGTTAGAGGTAATAATTCAAACTACAGGGCTTTCCTGATCATCAATTCAGCAGGCCCAGGTGAGGCTGAGGATAAACAGGTATGAAAAAGCTGAAACCTGAGGTGGGAGGAGATGATGAACAGCAGGGTAATGGACAGCAGCTTTCACAGCTGGAGGAACTGCAGCCAGGAAAGGAAACCTGATATTGTCCTTACCCTCAGCCTTTTGTCCCCTCTGCACCCTCAGTCCCTCCTGGTGCTGCTGTCCAGCTGGGAAATCCTCTTTTTGTATTTCTCCTCCCAGAGCTCTGTAGCTTGCACCTCATCATCAGGCTGACTTTATAACATTTTTCCTCATTATCATTACCCTTCTAAACTCAGATTTTGTTGTCCTGAGTAAGACCACCCCAAACAGGTTCTCTTGTGAGCACATCCCTTGTTCTCACACCCAAGGGGTTATGAAAAGGACAGAGAGGAGAACATTGAAGTCGGGCTGAAAAGCTGTCCTGGTGTGGCAGCAATGCTTTCAGAGCCATCATGGATCCTCACCCACTCCTGCACCACCTCAGAGTGACAAAGTTTTGTGTCTGCTCACAGCCCTGCACTGAACAGGGTCACAAGGCTCACCAGTGAAAATTCCTGTTGCCTTCCTCCACTTGCTCTGCCTACAGAGAACACCTGGCAGGACCCCAGTGGGCTTTTCCCACTGACAGGAGAAATACAGCCAGAAATATGGAAATACTGCACTGATTAGACTGAGGATGAGCCTTTCTTTGCCTAATCTGGGCTTCTGCAGAGATATGATGGAGGCCTGAGCTGGCTGCTGCTCTGTCTTGCAGATTTTCTGCTCCCCTGCAAAACAGTGTTTTGTGCTCTGAAGAATGAAGACGTTGGGAAACCACAATCCTGTGAGGTCTAAGGGCATTTCTGCACCAGGACCACCACCACAGTGAGAACATTTGGTGACATCATGACCCTGTGTGACTCCCTCCCTCAGCTGACATTTCCTTCTGCTGTTTAAACAGAGTTACACCCATTCTGCTCTATTGCCTTCTGGGCATACATTCATCCCATCCTTTGCTTATCCATGCATCCTTTCCCTGTCCATCCTCATTCCTTTTTTTTTTTCTGTTGCCTACTTTCCATCTCCTTCCATTGAGACTTCCCTCCAACAGCTCCCTTGTTTTCTCAGGCTCCCCTGTGCCACCTCTCCATTCTCCTGGCCCCACCAGTAGCCTCAGGCAGGCTCTGCCCTGCCCAGACACAGCTGTGGGGACACTGTTCATGCCACAAATCTCCTTTTTCTCAGGCTCTGTGGGAGCTGAGGGTTGGGAACTGCAAGCTCATGGCAGGCTAAGTAATAAGAGTAGAGATGGGGTGAAGTTCTTGTTCTGTCTTGAACACAGACTGCCAATCATGTCATAATAGATGGTGGTTCTAGGCAGGGAACAGCTTTTCAGCCCACCAAAATTACACCATTAAATGGAATTTCCTCTATTGGCTAATCAGGATTTGAACCCATTTCTCTGGAGATAAAAGGCACAGCTCAACCTCCTGGTTTGCGAGGTCATCTGGAATACAAATCAACTTTCATGTATTAATTTGAAATGTTTTTATGTAAAGGATATATATATTTTTTTTAATCTGCTTGTTAGTGCCTTGTGCCTAAACTGGAGCTGTGAAGTGACTTTTTCTCACTAGAGGCTAAATAAAGTACTGTACTGTTTTTATAAATGTCCTAAGCTTTGCCAGAAGGCTGGCAGTGAAAGAGGCTGGCAGGAGACAGGCAGTGTCTCTGTTCTGTATCACGGAAGTGAGCCCAAGGCCAGCGGCCAGTGCCTCCCATCCGCGGGAATGCCACCAATTAACGCACGGGTGATGTCATGGCATGGCAAAGGCACTTCCCTCGCTGCTCTCCCTGCCCTGCCAGCTCCAACCTTCAGTGGATTTTCCTCAGTCTGCTCCATGTACTGTAATAACTAAGTCAACTGGAAAAAATATTGAAGAAAAGACTGAGGAAAAACAGTGTAGGGGCAGCTGGAGCCAGCAAAGAAGGCACACTGAGAGCTATAAAGAAGCTTTGTGCAGCAGCTTCTCTCAACTTCAGGATATTTCGTTCCACAGGAGTTGGAGAAGATGGGTAATAAGCTGGCCTTTATTTTAAGGGATATCCCTTGTAGTCTCAGCTGCATAAAGATCACTCTTTGGGCATGTGGAAACAGTGCTAACAGTATCTCTCTTTCAGTACCTCCTGCTGCTCACTCCATTGAATGGCCTTGTTCCAGCTAGAGAGGAAAAAAACCTTCCATCTCTAAACAGCCATCGGTCTGAGGGAAAGGAGGTGATGAAAAGAGGCTGCAAGTGATGAAGTGAAGTAATTATTTATAGAAAGATACATGACCACAGCACTCAGGTGCCTGCACAGGAACAGGGCCCAGTACTGCTCATCCTGAGTGCAAGGGAGATGTGACTGTGCCTTCCCTGCCCCAAAAAGGCAAGGGGAGCACTTCTCTATCGGTGCTATGAGGATCCCCCGATGCAGGGAAGAATGATGTGCATGATATCAGAAGGCTAATTAATTACTTTATTATACTATATTACACTATATCACACTAACAAGAACTATCACTAACTAGAGAAAACCTGTGACTTTGGCAAAGTCCCGACACACACACATGGATCCAATTGGTCAATGAATCCAAACACCATCACCAGAATCTAATCAAACACCTTGGATAAACAACCTCCAGAACACATTCCACATGGGCACAAACACAGGAGCAGCAAATGAGATAAAAATTGTTTTCCTCTGTGCTTCTACAGGAAAAAACCTGAGAGAGAGAATTATGTTTTTCTCTGTTCAGAGGGCATGTGAATACCACACTTCTCTGGGCTTCAGGCACATGAACCACACTGTGCACAGGGTCAGGGAGCACTGTGGATGTGGGATGAGGCTGCTCCAAGAGCCAGAATGGTGAGGCTCAGTGAGGGATGAGGCCAGGCTCAGATGTGACTGCAGCACAGACTCAGGGTGGGAGCTGGAGAGCAGCTCTGGAGAGAAGGGGTCAGTGCCAGGGGACTTCTCCCAGCTCCTCCCACACGGTCCCTGCCCAGCAGCTTGCTCCCACAGCACATCTGAGCTGGCCTGGAGCACTGGCAGCCAGACCTCACTGAGGGAAAATGCTCTCAGAGGCAGTCAGTGCATGCAGGTCTGTGTGTACCTGTGTCACCACTCAAGGAACTGGCCTAAAGAGGAGCCCACTCTGTAAAAACTGTGAGCTGAGACATCCAAATGGCCACGTGCATCTTGGGGTTATGGATGTATTTGCAAATTGGTTCTGTGTTTGTGAACCAATACATGCAGTGCTGATGATGCAGATATAAAAATTCAAATTGGCTTCCTGTGACTGTGAATCGGTACATGCTGATAGTGCATGGATACAAATTCCAACTGGTCCTGTGTCACTGTGAACCAATATCCGTCATGCTGATTGGACCCATCCAAATTCTTTTATTTTGTAGCTGATGGGGAGAGCCAAGCTTTGAGCAGGGATAGGAGGAAGCAGCAGCCCTACAGGCATTGAGCAGAATGGCCCAGAGACCAATGTGTTAAATTGATCAGAAAACAAGTTTAGAATTTTACTTGGAAGGAAATTCAGAATAAAATTGCCTCAAATGTATCGCAAGGGAAGGTGGCTTGCAGTGTTCTGTTGTGCTAGGCAAGCCAGCAAATGTTCACACTTCCTTTTAACCACAGTCACCTGCACACGCTTAGAGAACATTTTTCTACCCTCATCATTTTGCTCCCAAGCCTTTGCTTTTTCTGTTCGACCTCCATTACAAAACTGGCTCCAAACCATCCCCAAGTCCAGTGTGACAGAGATGGAGAGCAGAGAGATGCCAGATTGCTGGTGGGGGCTCTGGCTGACTGGGATTGCTGGTAGCTGGAATGTGCAAAGACAAAGGGAGAGCAAAGGAGCTCAGGTTTTTCAGATGGAATCAGAAGGCTCCAGGGGACTCAGCTCTGCCTTGTGAAACACTTTGCAGATCTTCCAACTGGTAAAATGTAAAGTGACACTAAGTGAAATAAACTACTTTATAATTCAGCTATAAGTATCTTTAAGAGCCATATGACTAAATTTTAAATGGTTTAATAAAATAAAAGTTCTTGTTCTAGAAGGGTTTTCTTTTTAATGGATACTTCAGATGTTCAGTTAAATGTATTGTGACCAATGTAATTATCATTTGCCTGTATCTCAAAATTGTCTAATCCAGCACTAGTGGGCTGAGTAGTTAATAAGCACAAATAGAGATACTGAACTCTCTTCCTGTGGATTTCATCATCTTGCATTTCCACTCACCAGAAATACCAAAAATAAGGAGACATGGGGTAGACATAAGAGTATAACAGGAAAACTAACTGGGAATAAACACAAGCTCAAAACTAAAAGAAAGGTTGGGCATAACTTCACTGCAGGAGGGCAGGAGAGCAAAGCAAGGGGAGAAAAAAAAGGAAAAACAAGCAAAACTACTTTTAGAATGGAAGTTTGCCCATGTAATGAAAGGGATTACATCATGTTTGTCTGCAGTAGTGAAGGGCTGAACTCAGTGACCTCAGATATCCCTTCCAGCTCCTCAGGCTCACAGATATCATTTCACTGAGCACAAAAGAAACACCTGACCCTGCTTCCTTCTGCCACAGACCCAAACAATGCTGCTGTCTGTGGGCAGGAGCAGTTTATATACTGAGGGCTTTTCTTAGGGTTTATCCCTGCACCTTAACATCTGGATTTGGACAGAATTTAGAGACTTTAATTCCAGAAGTGCCAAATAGAGCACAGCCTAACCACCATCATTGCCTGATCTCCGAGGGGCCCTGGTGAGTCTCCCACCTAAACCCTCCTGCAACCCAAATTTTGGCCAGTTCCTACACAGAATTTGAAAGATCACTGGAAGGGCACTCTCAGAAAACACTGACAAATGCTAACAGAAACACAGTGATGGGGTGAAATCTCTGCCCATCTCTTTCACAGCAGATTGGGCACCCCACAGGAAGCAGCAAAAGGGCGCTACAGGCTCTGCTCAGCCCTGTACCACTGACTGTTTCTCAATAAAGCGTGGGCCCAGGTCAGTTTAGTGCCTAACAGAAGTTCCTCCAGGGCCAAGATCCCAAAGGGATCCAGGGCAGCCCTGAGAGGATGGCTGGGAGTTCAAGGAGAGGAATGGAGGGGAGTGAAGGCAAATACAGCATTTAGCACTTCTACATCCCCCAAAACCCCCTTTCTCTAGGAAAGCAGACTGGCTTTGTGACTTGCTCTCTGCATGTGAAGCCCAAATATCCAAACAAGATGACCTGGTTGGATTTTCAGCAGTGACTAATGGTGGCCTAAAGCAGGTGGTCGTTGTTCTGAGCTCAGTTCCTTACCCAGCCTCCCTGGTCTGAGGTGACTTGCAATTAGCAGCGCTGTGACTAACTGGTTAATAATAGTTTCAGGTTGTGCTGGATGGATTTTACAAGTATTTCAAAATGCCACTGAGCTTTACAGTGCACTGCTTTCCCCTGCAGATGGAAGGAACAGCCTCCACCAGCCCTGTGTACCAGGTATGTCTGGCAGCAGTGCTAACTCTCCATAAATATTGTTTCCTCTCCACCACAAATATTGTCTCCATCTCCCCTTTAGCAGGAAAAAAATCCCCCAGTGCCTCCCATTTCTCAGAGCAGCTGAGATCCAGCAGAATACAATATCCCTCCTTTGGTATTTTGTATTGTTACTTTTGTATTGACATTTTGGGAAGAAATGGGTGTATGGGCTGCCTGCAGAAACTCTGCCAGAGCTGCTGTTCCTGCTGGGTTCCTGAGGGCAGTGTGGGAGCAGCTCCAGAGCCTCTCCCTGTCTCCCTGGCAGGATCCAGCCCAGCAGCCCTGACCATGTGTGGCTGCCCCAGCACCAGGAGGGCTCAGAGGTGCTCCCAGATCCTGGCTCCTGTTTCTTCCAATTTTACCTCTGTCAGCACAGATGAGAGCTCAGTGCAGGGAGTGCTCCGTGCCCAGGCCAACCCTGCTGCTGAGAGGCTGGGGCAGGAGCACCTCTGTCTGTCTGTCTGTCTGTCTGTCTGCACAGAGTCCAACAGCTGCCTCAGAGAGCTCAGGCACAGCTACTGCTCTTCAGCAAAACAACCTTTTTCCTAACTATGGATACAGGCATGAAAGCAAGGGATTGTGAATTCCAGGAAAGGTTCTGTTCTCTCTCTTTGAAGCTGCCAGGGATCAATCCAGCAGCAGCCCCAGGAAGAGCACAGCAGGAGCCAGGGGAGCTGGCTGCCTCCTCACCTCTGCTCTGGCCCTCCCAGCCCACATTGGCCATGTTTACCTCCCCCTCCTTGAGGGAAATGGAGCAGAACATGCACTTTCCTAATGTAGGTTTGGCCAGCAGCTATCTCTTGAAAGCTCTGTGGTGGTCTGACATTAAAAAATTATAAATCTGTTAAAAAAGGTAACACTTTTCTAGAACACAGTCACACATTATATCCTATTTTGATAGAAGGAGAACAGTACCAGCATCCTTCAGGCCATATGTAGGCATGTCAAAAAAAGAATAATTTTCAAAAGAAATTTCTGGCTGCTAATAAAAAGTTTACTATCTGATCCTTTGTATATCAATATGGTGACTCAAGGCTGGTTCTGGTGCAATATAAAAATGAATTCAGTGTTTCTTTGTGCAATACCAACTTGGTTTACTGTGCTAAGACATGACTTCCAGTGTTTGTGGCCAGGTGGAAAATATCCAGCAAAAAAGTCCAAGTGCTCCATTTTCTCAGAAAGATAAGTACAATTAGGAAGGGAACTAGTTCTTAATATGGGCTTCCTTCAGATAAGAAGTTTCTGACTAAATTTGTATTTGGTAATCAAAGATCACCCTATTCTAAAACTCCAGTGAGCTTCACATCCAAAAATGGCAGAATTTGGTGGAATGGAAATGAGAGACAATTTTTATAAAATTAAACAGAGTTCATAAAGAAGAATCTCAGGGCTCTTTGGAAAGCAGAATCTTATCCTGAGATCTGGCCATGACTGATAGATTTTAAAACTTCAGTGAAGTTTTGTTAATTGGAGGAGTCTTCTATTGTAATCTGTTTCCATATAAGCCAGTATACAGAGAAATTAATATGAATAAAAAGAAATAATTGAAATCTTCAACTCTTCAGGAAACAAAACCAAGAGTAGAAGTTGCAGTTGCTGGGTGTTTTCTCTCTGCACCTCAATGGTGGAAGAAGGAACAAAACCAGGCACTATCCCCCTGTGATTCCAGAGGCTGCAGCCATCATCCTGTCCCATATCCTTGGGGAAGTCCAGACTGAAAAGACTGAGCAGTGCTGAGATGCTTGAAAAATTATTTGGGTTGTGGCATGTAACAAACATCTATTCATTAAAGCCTTGCAATTGTGACCCAGCCCTTCATCTTGCACAAGATCTATAAAAAAGGCTGAGTGACTATAAATGTGTCCCTTGGAGCAAATTATGGAAGACATTATAGGAAGACTGGTTTCTAGCCAGCTTTTCCAGCTTAATGAATTCCTTTCAAGGATGTGTGAAAGCTCCATTGAGACCAATGGTGAGTATCCTTGAACTCCTCCAGGAAGATTTTATAAGGGGTCTCAACTATTGTATTCTTATTTTTCTTCTATTTTCAGAGAGCAGTTAGAAAATTATTTGAAATGGTAAAGCTCCAGTTCAAGCACTTTTCACTGTGAGGACTGACCTGACTGATCCATGAGGAATCAGGAAAAGGCTCTTGGGCAGATCAGTTTTATCATGGTATCAATAACCAGGAAAACTACTGGAATTTGTGTGCTGACCACTCTGGAAGAGATAAAAATGCTTTCCTGCACCTTCCATGCTAAAACCTCACTCATTTAATTAATGTGCAGATCTGGATTTCCAGTGTGTTCCTACAGACATCAGCTATACATGGACCTAGAATGGGAATATTGAGAGTCAGGGAAGACTTTGCTCAGATCTAATACCTGTAGGTACATTTAATTTCTGATATTTCCTGCAGCAAAAGGACTTTCATCCACACATTTATTATGTTATCAGCTGACTTCACATATTTTCTGTTTCTCCATTAACAGAGTGAGGAAGATAATGATCTGCAGTGTTTCTCTCTCTAGAGACTGGTTTGCTCTTTCAGACTCTGTGCCTTCAATCACTCCTGCCCAAGATGTTGGGATGAGTGGGGGAGGTGAGGGAGAGAAATTATGAGTTATATGGAGAAAGCCTACAAAGGACAGTCAATGGAAAAAAGAGGGATGTTTCATCTGGGGAGGAAAAGGCACAGAACAATGGGGGAAAGATGGTAAAGAAACAGAGCAGGGCATAATATGCAGGCAGAAAAGATGGGAGGTGAATAAATGGAATAAAAAAAAAAAGGTGTGAAGTTTTAGCTGAAAAGTTCATCACCAGTCCTTTCCTTGTGTGACTTCCCATCCAGCTGTACTGGAATATCCTGATATTCAGCTTTTTGCTCGGGTGCAGAGCAAGTCACAAGGCCCAGGGAGTGAACAAGTGCTCCACACGCCAGGCCAGCTGCTCACACTCTGCTGGACCTTGTCACACTGACCCCTGGAGCTGCTGTGGCACCTCTGTGTAAAGAAACCCAAATGAAAACTCTTTTTATCATCCAAAGACAGAAACATCCCAAAATAAATACTGTCACATGTAGGAATTACAGGCACCTACTGAAATACATGACATTGCAGACAGGTCCACAGGCTGATGTCAGGGCAGCTGGCACCTAAAGATCCTCCTGGCCTTGGATCAGTAAGGCCTAAAATATTCTGTGTTTGTACAGAAAAGTCATGAGCATCAGGAATCTGCTCCTGCCTTGATTCATGAGCAGAACCATCCTTCATCCAGTTGGGAAAGCTGAGCCATGGACTCTAAGCATTTTCCTATTTTATTGTTTTTCAGACTACAAACAGAGGCAAATTAATTCCCCATGTAATTCCATTGAAATCTAGTACATTAAATGAAGGACTGCATTTATTTAAGCCTGTACCAATATTTATGAGATGAATTCAGGCCCAGAATGTGTTGGCTGATGGCCTTTTATTGGGAGAGGAACAGGATTGCTTTAATGGAAAGACTCCCCAGCCACTGGGAGTGACAGTGGGGACTGGGGAGGAGGAAAGAGAAGAAAAAGGGCAGAACAGAGTGTCAGGACTACAATAATTAATGCTTAGTGAGACAGAAAAGGAGACAGACCCAGAGGACAGAAATCCAGCTCTTTAATTCATATATTGTGGAGTTTCAAAGTCAAATCAATGGCTTTAACACAGCTTTATCTACACAGGTGCCACAAGGAATTCACACAATTTCTGTTATTTAGAAAACAACAAGCAGCATTAAATTGTCCTGCCACAGCAACAGGAGTCCTGCCAGACTGCCATGGGAGGAGGGACAATACAGGTGGGAAAAGCTTTTAAATCTTACTCATTTTAGATTTCAAAAATACAACTGACATTGTTATGCCAGCAGCACAGGCCGGCATAGGTGAGAGCAAGAGACAGATCATTTCAGTACAGGGTGATGATTTGGGTGTATTTGAAAGCAATTACAGATAACAGAGCTAGAAAGAAGCTGGAAAACATCAAAAAGAAAGTTCCCCTTCACAGAAACTAACATATGGAAGATGCAGCCCCTTCTGATGTTTTGTGTAGCCCTTTTAAAGTTATTTAGAAGTTCCTAAGGCTGAAGAATACACCTTTTGGAAGACAGAGATTTTTCACAGCCCTTTAAATTAGAGATTAAAAAATGTAAGTCCACAGGCCTAAATAATGTGGCCTGTGCTACACAGAGATGTGTGTGCCCTCTGAAACACTCAGCAAAGGGATCAAGAATCAAAAATGGCTTCTTCAGCTTTTTACAGGGGAAGCAGCTTAGAAGCAAAGTGTCAGTCTCATGGAAATTACCACATGGAAATTACTGCTGAATTCAGGGACAAAATCATTAAAAGGAGCAGTGTAGAATCAGTTGAGCTTCTTTAGTTCTTTGAAAATGTTATCCAGTTTTAGTTTGGCATCCTTTTATATTTGTGGAAGAGAAACCCTCCCTTGTTACTCTGTACACTCAGGTAGTATTTGAGCCTCATGGACTTTCACCTTTTCTTTGCAATTAGGTTTTGTCAGTTATTTGTAATTTTGTCACCTCCAGAATGGATTACACCATCATTTAGGGCAAGAACAGAGGGACCTTTGGAACCACCAGTCTGTGACTGCAGAGGAGTTCTGACCAATGTGCCCACACCCCACTCAGACTCCACCCATTGCTTTGGACACCCCTCCAGTTCTTGGGGAAATTCATACTTTTAGTGATATACTAGGAAGTCTTTGATAATTTAAAACTCCATTTAAATATGGTGTCTCCTTCAAATTTGAGTTGTTGCTGTTGGGAACTTGGTTTTTCCAAACCCAACAGCTGAGTATTTTTGGTCTGTACATCAAATTCTGCACTTGGCACATTCTGGGCACTGTAAGTCAAACCAGTTGTTTTCAATGTGACTGAATTTCCATATTTGCATTTGTTTGGTTCTTTGCCCCTTTGTTGCTGGATTGACAGGGGTGGGGTATTCCTGGTTTCTTGAAGGTGATTTACAAAAGGCAGATCAACTTCCTAAATTGGAAGTCAGAACATTCCAGGTTTTACAGGTTTTTATGTAGAAATCTTCCAGTCTGTGGGGAATAAGGAGTGCTGCAAAACCTCTCTTCTGTGTCAGCACAAGGAGCAGTTTGAGCCCTCCAACAACAGGAAAATTGTTCCAAACCAGAACAATCCCTTCCAGAGCAGGCTGAGCCCTGAGATGCTGCATTACAACAAAACAGGAAAATGTGCATGTCTGAAAAGGGAATTATCACTGTGGTATAATGACTGCTATGCCTCCCTGGAAAATGCAACATGGTGTGGGACTTTGTTCAAGCACTTTTTTTCCCAAGCTGCTATTGCCAGCTCCAAATGTTCAAGAACTACAGTTTGACCCTCAAAATCACAAGCCTGTCTGTGAAACGATAAATGTGGAGCTCTTTTACTGTGCTTTCTGGTTTTTGAGCTGTTAGGGTGCACCTGGGTCACACTTGCAAGCTTTATACTCTAACCATTAGGACTAGGAACTTACTTTAAATTAAAGAAAGAGGAAAACTGAGTTTCTAACCTCATTACACAACTGTAGTAGCTGGAGTGTAAGTGAAACATCAAACATCACAAGACTTGTGATAAAATCATGAGTGCTGACAACATCAATTTAGAGTAGGAGGTGGGATAGCAGGGGAAACTCAGGGCAAATGGATTTACTTTTTATCTTAATGTTTTTACAGGCTGTCTACTTTTATCTTTAATCAGAAGTTTTCAGTGGCAGTTCTTTCTTCGTGTATCTGTGCATGACATTAAAAGGTCACCTCTGCATTAATACCTGATGCCATTTGCTAACTGCATCTCTCCATCAGAGATTACATGAAAAGGCAGGTGTACTGATGCTACACCTGGTGCTAATATCACAGCAAAGAGGAATGATGGAAGTCCAGGTCATGAGTGCATGGGTAAAACAGCATTGAGAGGGATTCTAGTCCCCTGTGATGTGAAGAATACAGGATGTTTCTCATGGCTCAGATATTTACTGCCTGAGCAGAGAATACTGTATGGAGAATTTGCCAGTAAAGCTCCACAATCTCTGTGGAATGGATTGTTTTAAGGCACTGCATGCTGGATTTTTTATGCCTGAAAATTACCTCAATGAAAAATAATATGAAAAGTTAAAAAGGTAAGTATAGTTAAACCTTTAATTATAATAAATTGCCTGTAATTAAGCCAAGTAATTAACGGATCACTATGTTTATAGATCAACAGACTGGCCAGATCAAGAATTCCGGTCAGTCTTTTGTGATGCCAAAGTGGCAGCAGTGACAAAGTGGTCAGCTGTCCCTCCACTATTATAGGCAGTTTCCAAACCATGTTTTTATTGTTTGAAATGCTCCACTTTGAGGGAATTATGCAGTCACCAGTCCTTCCAACCCCATGCAAAGAGTTGTCAGGGGCAGGTTCCTTGGTCACCCACCTGCTGCCTTTTGGTCTGACCTGTCACTGATCTGAGAGTGCCAGGGCAGCAGAGTGGCCACAACAGGGAATACTCATTCCCTGAATTCAGAACAGGGAATACTCCTGCTGTACCATCATAACCCTGGGATTTAAAGAAGGGAGCTAAGCCTGGTCCAAATGGTCAGTTTGCTTCAGCTGCTTAGCACGGCACCAGGGGTACAAGCAGAGTGCACAAATGAATCTCATGGTGACAAGCCAGAGGTTTTTATATGACATAATGCTGATATAATATATCTTCCACTCCTGAAACCAGCTCCAGATGCATCTGGGTGGGACTGAGTTCTTTAGCTCAGGGGTGATTATGTTGTTAATTGGAAGGAGGGACACAGCCCCTGTGTGAATCAAGAGGAGGTGTTGAGGGTCTGTAGTGTGGCCTTTGTCACAGCAGAAGGGATCCAGCCCAGTGCTATCCCAGCAGGTATATAACAAAATCAGAATATTCCACTTATTCCCCCCAAAAACATCAGAAACCCAGAAAATTCAAGACAAGTACGCAAAATTCAAAAATCCTAATAACATCAAGTTTGCTCTGATGTGATACATAACCACATGCAACTCACAAGCATGAGAGAATTTCATAGTTCATAGTCTGAATTTGGAAAAAAAAAAAAAACAACCAAACAACAAATTTAGAAGAGAAATTACTTTTTAAAATGTGTTTCAGTATATTTTTGTTCCACATACTGCTACAGGAACAGGGTTTGACCTGTTCATTCTCATTCAGGTGATTTGGCATTTGGTCTGATTTGATAGATTTCATCTTGCTACAAAACTCGAGTGCAGAGGTCAGAGAAGGAAATGCTTTGTCATCCCTGCCTGCTTTCGTGGGGGAGCGTTGAGGTTTGCCTTCTGGATGTAAAATCTTACCACAGAGACAGAAAACAAGATTGGCTAACCACAATGACTTGACTCAAAGAATTAGCAGCTCTGACATAATGGAGGCATTCCTGAAAAATCTCAAGTCAGAGTTCTGCCCACTTTTGTGAATAAATAGCAATCAAAAAATCTAGGGCAATAAAACTCCATAGGCATCTCAGAATTTTATTTCAGCCAACATCAATCTTCCTTCCCTTCAGACAAGCTAAATTATACCGGTAAATCAGCGACATTAAATCAGTCAAACCAGCTGAATGCAAAAGCTGAGGGAACAGGCCAAATTTGAACTGTGTATACTGAGAGACAGAAAACTGCTCATAAAGTTAAATCTTAAATAAACATGAACCCTTAGAGGGGGTACTCAGGGAAAAGGAAAGACTGCAGTCCAAAACTTCTGAGAGGCCTCTGAATAAATATACA